AATTTCAATTGAAAGAAATTTACAGCACACTCAACCAACAACAAATGGCATCCTAAAGCTAAAGAAAATATTTTAAGAACTGAAACTATTGATCTGATGAGGGGGGAGGGTGAACAGTCCTTAGGGAAGAGAGAAGAAGGTAAATACAAGAGGAAAGAGGGAAGTAAAATAATATGGATGGCTGAAAAAGTCACAAAGAATTAAACTATTAACTACTGAAAAAAAAATAATGCACATAATTCAGTGTGAGTGTGTGTGTGTGTGTGTGTGTGTGTGTGTGTAGTTTTAATGAACTTTTTTCATCTAGAATTACAGATGAAAAAACAGCCAAAGACAACCTAACAAAAGTCAAAATCCCCAATACCAGAAATAAGAAGCCCTCTTTTAATTGTTAGCTAGGACTGTCAGAGAGACTCCCAAAACAGAAAGCCTATAGCTGTTGCTCTTGGTTATACCCCAGAGGTGGAAGAGGCTACCCCTATGCACTTCAGAACCAGGATCCAAAGGCCCTGATCTGAGAAACTGATCTGAGTGCCCCCTCCCTGAGGACCAGCTTTGCTGCCCACGTTCTCTGTGTTCTCCTCCCTCCTCACATCTCTTTCTCTCTCTTTTCTTTCTCCCTCTCTCCCTCTTTCTCTCCCCCCTCCCCCCTTCACCTTCTGAAGCTGTAAGCAAGACCCCAGTTAAATGCTTTCTTTTATAAGAGTTGCCATGGTCATGGCATCTCTTCAGTGAAAGAGTTCGAAGTAAGACAGAACTATCCTGCTAACACCAGAACAGATGAAGAGTGATGTAAAGAGCTGAACACAAAAGCTGAGCACTTCCTAACGTCAGGCATTTTTACTTACATTGTCTCCTTTTTGCCGCATAACTACTGTATGAGGTAATTCTATCTTACTCATTTAATAGAAAAGGAAACTATGATTTGATGATATTAAGTAATTTGTCCAAGATCCCACAAAAGAGAAACTGGAGCTGAAACCCAAGTTTTATGGCTTCAAAATAAACCGTTCTTCTTTTCACTGCACTTTCCCAACCTGGCAGGGAACTCTGTCATTAAAATTTCCAGACTTTTAATTAATACTTACTGAGGAAAGAGATAATATCAAGATTATAATGGATGGTAATAATATAGACTGAATATTAGTCATAGTTTTATAACTACAGATGAAGATTTGAGAAATAATTACAAGTTATGCATGATGTTATATTCTTTAAAGCTGAATATGTAATGCCCCTAGAATGGGGATATTTTTTCTTAAAATTTATTTTCTTAGAAAGGTACTAAGTAAACTTCAGTTTACCTATATAATTTTGAATTTCAAAAACTTTTGACGACCCCATAATGTGGTAGTTGTACATCAGTAACTACAATCATTATTACCGTGCTTGTTCAGACAGAATAAGAAAAAAGCAGCTACTTTATTCTGATCTCTCTGTTTCAGCTCTAATGCATCCTCTACTCTGTTTTTCCCCAGATCCGGAAGCGGCTAAGTTAGTGTAGCCAAGCCTCAAACTCAGGAACTCTCTAACACAGATGCAGATGTAGATACACTGGAAGGTATACACCAGACTGTCATAACTGATAGTGTTGTGTGGTACACAGCAAGTTTCAGTTATTTCCAGAACATTAACTATAATAGAATTACTTTTCTTCTCTTTATTTTCTCAACTGATTTTGCAGAATTCATCTTGAGGGAATAAAAAGAGTAAGAAGGAGGGAGAGGCAGGGAAAGCAGCACTCTGATGCAAACCCAGCATGAGAGTCACCATTGCCAAGTTAGCTGAATTCACTCAAGTCCAGAACTGGGCCCTTGTTCTCTCTGATGTACACACCACAATAAATATGCCCCAAAACAACAAAAATCTTATCCATCTGTAAATTCTGATAAATACCTCTTAAATACTTTAGAAATCAAGTGTATACAAAGATAGGTATAAAATCTTTCTGAAATTTAAAGACACAAATATTTAAGAAAAATTTTCCTAAGACTGAAAAGATACACTTACTCTATGTATATAAACTAATGCCATTTCCACTTTTGTCTCTTCGTCAGAAACTGAAGTTCTGTATTAAGATCTCCCGTTATTAACACTATGACACAACACTGAAGAGAGTTTAAGTCCTGCTGAAACACTAGTAAACCTAGTAAACAAAGTTACTCGGTCTCCATGCAGGTATTTTCTTAAGCTGCATTTGCAAACTCTTTTCCATCACAAAATACATTCTTCCAAAACAACATGCATAAGATTGATCCAATTCATTCAGTTACATGATCAAAACACTGAATAAGCAATCATTCCTTTGTTCTCACTCCCAAAGATGTACATCATGGTGCAAAAACTACCATCTACTAACATGTAGCCAAGCTTGGAACAGAACGCTAGTGTCTATGACAAGTTTGCAGGCTATCTTTCCTGTGACTACCACAATGATATTACTAATCTCGGCGTAGATACAAAGATCTGTCTTTCCACACCTCACAAACCCACACTGAGTAGTGCTTCGTGGAACTAAACTACTACTGCCTTCTTCCTGTTACTATTTAGTTTCCTATTTCCACTTATAAACAAGGACCTTACAATATTTTGATCTTCTATACAGTTAGGTTAACTTTTCCAATCTGATCGTTTCAATTCTTGATAATATTTACCATGGAACAGCTATTAAAAGGTACTGCTGTCACATTAAACAAGCACACCTCACTTTTTCTAACTTTTGACAGGAGAGAAAAAGACCGTGAATCTGAAGAGTTCACAAGGAAGTTAGAGCGACATGGCAACTAAGAATGAAATTCGAGTAGTTCGTCCAGAAATGCCTGGATTACTTCTCCCACGCAAATGACATCTACCTTTGAAGCAGAGCAGACGCTGTATTAACAGGACACTACATAATCTCAGCTAGTGTATATTAATACTGTCAATGCAGAAAAGAAACAGATCTTCGCCAAAGGTCTTTTATGGAAGAAAACCGAAAGGGTTTCCAAAATGTCTATGTACTCTCCTAAAACATCCCTGGGACCTTTGAAAACCCTTAACTCTAGGGCTATTAGAAAATCTTTTCTTGGCTGTAAAATAGACACTCAACCTTTTATATCCTGTGGCTCTTTCACATACCTTCATAAATCCTGAGGAGGTGGGTATACAAACAGTCCCTGCACCCAACAATGCATTTTGCAAAACTATTTTTCCCTTTAATCCTGTTCCCATTTCACATACAGATCGCAAAATTTTTAGACATTAACTCCTAAAATAGTGTTGGCATTATCTTCAGATTTTTTTTTACATCCAGCTTTAATATGCAGCAGCGACTTCAGGTGAGTTTTTCTTATAACGCCTGAAAACTCCTGTACAAGTTGGAGTAGCATATGCTCGAGGGATGATGAGACTACTGTGAATATGTAGGCTTCTTCAAGAGGAGAAATAGTCAGTTTCATTGTACTGACATCACAAAGTGGATGAAAATGAAAGGCTGCCCTAACCTTAACAAATATAGGTTGCAATGGCATCCCCAACGATATCACAAATGTAGAGTACCAAATCGACCATCTCATGGAAACTTACAGCTGAACTCTAACTCTTCTGAAAAGCATCCTGGCTCTTACCAAAACTAATCCCATGTTTCAGAGAGTTGTTCCTAAGAGGAGTCCAAGGAGGACACAAGGGTGTGTCCAGACACCTCAGACCCCTAAACAGCACTTGGGGAAAAAAAAAAATCGCCCCTGACTGCCGGCTTCACACCAGGAGTCTAGATCTGGTTCAGATTTCTGAAGGGCAGCCCTGAACAACAGGGGCAATAGGACATGAAGGTGGAGGAGAGTCGAGACAGGGTTAGTGGGTCCTGATGTGAAGGGGCTCCGGGGACACTAGGGGCTGGGTGCCCCAGGACAGGGTGGCCAGGGGAGGAGCCCACAAGAGTTCAGGGCATCGTGAGAGAACGGCGATGAGCGACAGTAGGGAGCGGGTGCAGACTCGCAGCGCCGCGGCCCCCAACCCCGCCCCA